AATTTATCTGCCGAGAATTTTTCACATGTTTTAAGAAGATTTATCGCTCGACGTGGATATCCAAAATTAATATTAAGCGATAATGCAAGCCAATTTCAACTGGTATTCAAAATCATTATGGAAGAAAACGCTAACTTTTTGGCTACAAAGGGTATGATATGGAAAAATACTATACCAAGAGCACCATGGGGGGGTGGTGTATATGAAAGACTTATAGGACTCACAAAAAGGGCATTAAGAAGAGCAATAGGAAGAAAACTTCTAAAGGAAGGAGAATTAATAACATTAATAATTGAAATAGAAGGAATCCTTAATACCCGTCCATTAACTTATGTAGGGTTTGACGACTACAGAATCATTCGTCCAATTGATTTTATATCACCTATGGCTTCATTAGATCTACCAATAAATTATGATAGTGACCAAGATGAATATACCCCTTATACAATAAAGACTAAAGATAAATTAGTCAAGTATTGGACTACCACTCTTAACACATTAGATGTCTTTTGGAAGTTGTGGAAAGAAGAATATCTTACAAGTCTTAGAGAACGCACACAAAGAGAATTAAAATCACCTAGAATAATAGAAAAAAGAGTACCACATGAAAATGAGATAGTAATACTAAATGAACCAGAAATACCTCGTGGTGTATGGAAATTGGCAAGGATAATAAAAATTAATCGAGGATGGGATGGAAAATTAAGGAGTGCAACAATACAATTACCGAATGGAAAACAAATCGATCGATCAATAAATATGCTTTATCCTATGGAAATAGATGCTACTGAAGATAAAGAAGAAAAAGTGGAAGATGAACCAGAAGAACCCATTGCTCGACGAACCAGAAGTGCTAAAAAATCACAAACTACAATCTACGCTAAGGACAAGTCTAATCTTTTGATAAAAACTTTATCATTGATAACGATGATGTCATTAATACCAAGACAGGTATTAGCTAACAATAGCTGTAATTGGATTACTGGAGTACCCTTCAATTCCTGAAAAATGGAATTGTGAAGAAATTATTCACAAAAATGCTACATATCACAAAGTGGATGTGTACACACGCACCCATGTAAGAATACCAGCTATAAAATGTAGTAACATTACACGGACTGTATGCACGAAAGCCTTTCTCAGAATATCGCTATCGGTAGTGTCAGACCATACGTCTACTACCGCAACTTCTTCACAATTCTGCAGATATTTAAATGTTCGGAAACAAATGAACGGAATTGGACTAATTCAATCTTCTCCTAATCAATGGATAACGAATAAGGAAATACAATACTCCTATGGATGGTTAGGAATTAACTGTCAATCAACTTCAAACTTCATATTAACTCAAGGAGAAATTCTCATCTACGATGGAAGAGGGTTAGTCTCTAACCTTGAAGATATAAAAGACTGTTCGACACAAAAGGGTGAATGCATAACGAATACTAGCATTATCATATGGAATAGCAATGATACGACCAATCATTGTTTATATCGAAAGATCGGAAGATTCAAGGCTACAAAGTATAACAACCACTTCATCATCGATGAGATACAAGCATCGCTTATAATTGATAAAAATCCCCCTATATTAAACACCAAAAATTGTAGATTCACTTCTCCAATTTTAATGCAGGGCGATATAGTTATTGAACTAGACGTTGAAAATGACTCGAACTCTACTACAAAATTCAAACGAAGAGTAACAAACAAACTATTGATGATGGAAAAGAAAGTACGATCTGAAAGTACGATCTCCGGATAGAAAGTACGATCCTGAAAACGTAAAACTTCAATACCTTTCTGATTCACTAAGACAAGAATTCCTTCAACAACTCAAAGAAACACAGCAGAGAAGTTGCCAAAACAGAAATAACTTATTACTTTTGATCAAATGGCTATCAATCAGCAATCCTACTCTTGCCACGAAACTAATACTTTAAAGAAACGATGTGATAGCTAAAAGAATTAACGGAAATTTGATGGTGGCTCCTTGCAAATCAGAACAATCAACAATTGAAAATATCGAATTCAAAGGAGATTTAATAAGTAAGTTTGAAATTGAGAGAATTAATGCAGAATTGGAAATCCTAACTCAAACTCAAAGAACAATTAATTCAATACCACATCAAATGAAAGATGAACTCTTTTGGCAAGAAATCTCTGAAGAAGGAGAAGAAATTATCAAACAAATGGAAAAGGAATTCAATGAAATTGTTCTACCGATAGAAGAAGAATTTGAAAACGTGATAACACATTGGAAATTGATTTTTATCTGTATAATTATCGTGACAATATTAACTATTTTAGTTATTATTAAGTGTAAATTTAAATTAGTTCAATCCCTCCTTTGTAATACTTCAAAACGAAATTCAAATCAAGCTACCATTATTACTCTCCCTACAGAATCACCACACACTCAATTCATAACTAAAGAAGAAATCCCACCTATCAAACTCCGTACATTTAGCTATATACCTCAAAATCACTCTCTCAAAATTACATCTTAAAACAATTTCTCTCCCCCTTCGGGAGTGTCGCGAATTATAATTTCGCGAAAACTTCTAACCAATTTCATAGTATCATAAATCATCTCTCTTTTTAAATTGTAAACAATCCTACAGTATTCACACATGTATTTTTAATCTCTTCGTAGTAAACACTTCAAATTCTTTACACATGTGATTTTATCTTAGACACACCCAATTCTCACTCATATAAATTCAATTCTAATAAACAAAACTATAAATTATCATCATTGTCGACTACGCTCGTTTAACCAAGATCAACTCTTCCAATCTTCTTTATTATAAATTTCTTCTCTTCTTTTACTGCTCTGTTTATTAATACTAAGTTTGCGAAAAATAAAGACTTATTAATTTAATCCTTCTACTGTATTGCAAACGATTCCAATATCAACCAACAGACAACCTTTCACGACAATTACCTCCTTTTCTTCTTGTAATCCCATCATAAGAACAGAAAGCATGATAACTTCGATTTCGATAACGTCCGCTCGGCATCACTTATGAATTACAGAATAATGTACCAGTAGGAAAAATCAAATAATACAGAATTGGTGTGTGTTGATTTGAGTTAACAAAAAATGGTTATGCAAATTTTATCACAAAGTCACAGAGTTTCAAGACAAACCAAGTGGACGACAGTCGACATCGGAATCGTCATCACTACTTAGTTCTATTACATCATCATCTATAAAAGACGTTGAAGGCTTCACATCAGGCAGAGATGACGTTTTCAGATATTTGGATACCGGCTCCAATTTCACATATGGATCTTCACTAGCACATAATCCTTCTCTGTACTGCGCTTCTACAAAATCACCAATTTCCGACTCATATATTTTTGACAAGCGTTCTAGCCGCTCTCTTTCTTGTCTTTGTGCCTCAACGGCGTCGAATGACACTTTTATTTCATCGAAATCTGTTCTAAAATATAAAAATATGATGTGTTCCATCTTTGAAGACAATATAGTACTAGAACAGTTAGAGTTGGTAAAGTCGCTCATTTAAAGACTTAAAACGTATCCGACTGTCTAAAACCATGGGAACTATGAAGTAGATTATGACAAGAAATAAAGAAGAATGTAAAACCTGATATGCTTCTTTTTGTTAGAACGCGTTTGAGTTGGTAAAGTCAGGGAAATAAGTTCATCCGCCCTGTTATTTTAATCACTGACTCTACTGGATTGTCATTTTTGATAAACTCTACTTCAAGCTTTGCCTTCATTCCATTTTCTTCCATTCGCACCTGCAAAACATATTGTCAAACCGGGAAGATATACTATCGTTTTTCTTCAGAAAACAACTTTATGTTACCACTGTCAGCAGATCCAAAAGTCCGCCTTTCATGAAAGTTTGTATATAACTAGTACGTGTAAGGCCGAATAATCAAAGAGAGCGAAGCAACCCTGCTCACCCTTAACCATATCTAACTTCCGTTAAAATTCTGCTATCCTATATAGCTTACAGTGCAAAGGATCCAGCTTGAAGATCTGTGCGAGAATTGCAGCAGAATTGCTGTTGTCATAATTAGGTGAACGATATATGTTCTGTACTGATTGTTGATTTATTTAGGGATGTGGTGGAGACAACGGATGCGGATGACATGTGTTGGACCTGTCTAACTGCAATTGTAAAGGGATGTCTGCTTCATCCCTTACCATTTGTAGATACCGACATTACTTTGTTGATTATTGCATGTTGTTGTCTTCAAATGAAATACTTCCATAAGTATTTAATAATTAGTTGTGTTTCATTACCGCTACTTTTCTGTAGCATTTCTGTTCTACAGAAAAGTGTTTCTTGACTTGCTTCAATAAGATTTGTTTTTCAGTAAATGGAAACACAAATTCAAGAGTGGTTTTATGGGCTGTTTTCGAAGCTGTGTTCTTGCTTCGATGACCTTGGACAGATATTTTACCTAAAAAGATTTTTTGAAGTTCGCCGAGTTGTATGAAAGTGAACAGCTTATTATTACAAATTATCCAAGAATATTATTTTATTCTCAAGCAATTCATGTGAAAGCAGTCCCTTATCTATGCTTTATTGGATCCTCATTACCGATAAATGCTCTTTGTAGACATCGTACAACTTGTGGTGGGATGATTTCTTTTCCTTACTTTGAATTTGAAAGTTGTCTAAAAGCAAATATAATTGAAAAGGAAGCTTCTACAAATATTTTTGCGCGAAAGTTCTTACCCGCAAATGACTTGTAATCATTGAAGAAATATTAAATCTGATGAACATTTAATTGAGGTCACTATTTGGTAGTATTTTAATTGTTAACACTGGTCATTCGATTTTTAATATTTTTCTCATCACTTTGTTTTATTGCATAATAATTACATTAATTTTGTAACTAGATTTAGCTAGGCACCATTTCAAACAATATTTCGAGACAGAAACAATTTATGATTCACCATTGTTTTTGTTGCATTTGTGGTCATTAAATTGCTCTGCTATGAATGATAATGGAAAATGTGGAAAAGGCAAAATGTGCTAAATAGGTATTTTTCGCTACAAAAATTTCGGTTTTTCGTAAATATAATATAAGGGTTGAGAACATGAAATTGGTGTGCTGATAATGTTAGTAGTTTCGCTTCAATATATCGACTTTTGTCTTAACAGATTTACCATTCTAAACTCTGAAAACGTTGAATATTTTTTAATGGAAGAATAGGATTTCCTTATTTTACTTTCTGTTTAACACCTTTAGATATTTGAATTAGCTCGATCCATGCAACTTGTCGTGTTAGATTGTGACACAATCAATCATCCCTCACAGTTGGCTAAAACATCGCTTGCACCAATTCATGTTTATATCAAAATTAGCTTACCTAAAGTTGGCTTTCTTTCAAATTTTCATTTTCTGTTTCCTCTTTTTTTTTCGAAAAAAGAAAATAGTTAAACTGAAAAATGAAACTAAAATTTAAGTGGAGATTACCTTACCTGGAATATATTGCAGAGAGATAAGTATATATATATATATATATATATATATATATATATATGATTGATATTTACATTTTAGAATATTCTTACTGTTCCTAATTTTAGGCTTATTAAATCAAGAAATAAATCACAAACGAGAAATATGAATGTACAAATGGTTGCAGCTGAGAAATTAGCACAATGTCCAATAGTAAGTTAAATAATTTTAGAAGTTTTTCTTTTCATGAAGTGATTTTAATAAAATTTTAATTTTTGCAAAAATCATATTAGAAAAAATTAAGTGAAAATTCATATTGTTTTAATCTTATAAATAATAAAATTAACAAACACTGAATTATTTACTCAATCTTATCATTTAGAAATTATTTTTTTTTTCCTTCTTAAATTAATTTTAGAAAATGTTTGATGTTTTATTGGATGAGAATCAACTGGAAGATGCATGTGAGCATTTAGCTGATTATATGGAATCATATTGGAGTACGACACATCCGCCAGTGAAATCACCGCCTCGAATAAAACAAAATCCAATGGAAAATCGCGGTCCATCAACATTATTTACACCATCACAAATGATGCAAGGTTAATTAATGATTGATATGATAGCTGTATTTGAACATTTATAACAAATTTTAATTTTATAGATTTTAAAATTTCATAAAAAAGCTCAAAATGCAATTTAATTGCCAAATAATCAAATTCATAAAAAATATAAGAAATTGTTGAATTAAAGAAAAAAAGGAATGAAAATTGTAATTTTTCTTGTTTATATATAATAAATCCAAAATTATAATTAAAGATTTAAAGATCCAAAAATTCAAAAACAATTCCAGTAAGAAATTAAAAAAAATAAAAATTATAAAAGATAAAAAAAAAAAAGCCTGGATTTGCTTTAATTGCTCCTCTACCATTTTATTACAAAAATTTACATGCTGTTCTGTCTTTTCTGGTAAAAGTCGTGAGGCATACAGCACACTGTACCCGTTACCTGCAATTCCGACGTAAACACTCCCGTCATAATCGTCCATACTATATCTCCACTCCATAATCTCTTCTACAAGAATTGCAACTTCTTGTTTCAGGGTTTGTTTAGTCACCTTCAACATCAATTTTTTTTAAGTTACGAAACAAAGTGTAAGTGCAGAATTTAACATGAAATTTCAATTTCATTTAGGTGAGACAAAACCAAAAATCAGCATATGTGCGATTTGCACCTATAAAAAAAAACTGCAGTTTCCAAATTGCATAATGGAAAATAGGTAAGAAAAGACAACGCACTACAAACTTAAATATTCAGAGGGATTTAAATCATCAGATGCACAGTGAATACCTTATCCGATTCAGCTTCACTATTAGTCAGATACGAATTGTCAAAATATCGTCTATGCATCACACGAAACATGGTTTTCCGAAACTGTAAATATACGTGAGGATTACATTTTACCCTTAATATATCATTAACAAATTCTTGACTGACCTTATTCAAAACACTTCGTTTATTATATCTTCCAATTTATTACTATATTAGAAAGCGGAAAATTACTGCAGTATTACTAGTGACGAAAAAGTTACAAAACAAAATTTATTTCTAACGGAAACAACTCATACAACATTGATAATACTTTCTCATTCTTGAACATTTCTTTGACATTCATAATTAGCAAAAAAGAAAAAACAATAATACTGTAGATAATTAGGAAAAAGAAATAGGTACAAGAGGAAATTGCGCCTTATCTGGTTCCAGTAAGTCACATATAAAACATAAAGCTCCACTTATCCCTTCGAATAAACTGTATGGTCGATCAGGTGTCCGAGCTTTTCCTCTGAAGTCTTTACTACAGAAAGTTTTCGCAATAGAGAGAGCACAATCCAGATATCGCTGAAAAAGAAGGAACTAATATATTTCAGCATCGAGAAATCTAATTTCTTCAGCTCCAAACTTTAGCATTTTATGCAAAATCTTTTATATGATTAGCACTGTTCTTCATATATAGTTGTTTTTCACTTATTAAAATCTGGGATCAAACGAGGATTGGCAATATTACATCCAGTTTGTGGCATCTAATTCCGCTTTAATATATTTCCATGAATCTTTTAGACATCTTTTTTTAAAGACAAATTTATAAATTTCATCTTGTCGTACAATTTCACCTCTTCTTCTATTGCTGAACAGTGATGTTGATATGATATAACAAGCAATATTTTTCATTTGAACTCTTGTCGCATAATAATTTACCTTGTATTTCACAATTAAATTAGGTTTGATAAGATATTTACTCGAGACTCTCATAAGAACTTTCTACGACATGAATTAGACGTCAGAATGCCTGTGTTTTTCCGCTGAAAAGAAAACCTGCATTAAATCTTAAGTCATGTAAGGAACAAGAATGTTACCGCACTCAGTCAGAGATGATGTTTAGTATTCATAAGAGATATCCAGATGTTAATTTGTTTGGTTTTTACAAGTCGAGTTGCTTTGTATGAAACTTTGTACAATATTGCAAACATTAGCATAAATATATTAATGAGAATTAAAAAATTCTTTATAATACATATAAAATCTAGACGATATCATCGTTCTGGCATTAAGATTACTTCATATAAGCAATGGACGAATTTTCTTACATCCTAATAATTTAGTGACATCAAGCGTAGAATAAATACGATGCACTCAAGAAACAATCGTCAAAAGTAATAGACGAAATAAGTAGCTTAGACAAAATGACCGAAATATCGTCATTTTTCTTACTTTTGTTCTGTAATAAGAATAAATTCTGAACTATCGATAAATTGTGCATTTTCCATTAGTTGCAAGTACTTCGTATGAAATCGAACATCCGTTGAAGGCTGGTATAGCATCCATGCACTCCTTTCCCAAACATTTGTTTGTTTTACACTTAAAAAAGCATTGTCATTATATTCACTGTGAATTATTTTAATTAAGTAACAAAAATACATTCCAAATCGTTTAACTTTGAATGGAATATTGCCAATTCTTATTGATATATTATTGGAAAAAAATAATGTCGAACATTTCTAAGCAATTGATGTTCCTTTTTATTTTTAGAAGTTGACATTTGAACTAATTTTTGAGGAATTCCTCTTCAATGAGACATAAGCAATTATTAAGTTTTTTATTTTTTTAATTAAGTAAATGTCTTTCTTTCTTTCTTTATCTCTCATAAAGTAGAGAGAAAAAAAAACGAAAAGAAAAAGAAAATTGTTGGTTCAAATTTGATTCCGTTGTTTATGAAAATGCAAATAAAATTGAAAATAATTTTGTTTTGTTGCGGTTACCCATTATTTGCTTACCTGTTGAAGCAAAAGGTATGAAATAGCTTTTGACTTTTAAAGGTTTATCGATACAATTTTGGCATGAAACGTTCTTAAATATTAAAGCTGTCAGTTCTTTATTACTATAATTTACTAAGGATTTTCTTATTTTTCATTTACTTGCTTATAAATGCATAAGTATTGAATTTTCAATGATAGATATAATTGAATGAATATGTGGGAGTGATAATTGTATACTTTGTTCGAAAAATGTTATAAATACTTTTTCTTTCTTTTCATATCAAAACAAATTCTTCTATCCTTTTTCTCTGATTTTGAATCATAAGCCTAAATTTCAATTTGTTTATTTTTCTTTTAAGACAAATTCATTTTTTTTTTTAAATATTTCATAGAGTTTTGAATTTTCTTTTTTTTATTTCTAAAACAGAAATATTATAGATTTTGACAAATTTTGAAGCGTTAGATAGTTAGAAAATCATGTAATTCCAAGAAGTTAAAGGGAGAAGAGCGGTAGATTGGGCATAGTTTACTCGACCAATCACAAAGAGATTGCAAATAAATCATAACTCTTGGATGAATGCAAGAATCAATGAAAAAGATAAGATATCACATGATATAATCAGTGATGTAACATTGTCATATCATTGTTATCTCAATTCATTCGTCTCATTTTCACTCACAATTCAACAACAACAACAAACAACACACTTTCTATAACATATCACATTTCATTTTGCTATCACAACTAAATCAATTGATCGGATATTTTGTAATGATAGGAACAGATGGAATAGATGAATGATCGATGATAGATAGATATAGTAGACAGACGGCGTTCAGTAACGTTGTACATCTTTTGCAAGTTTTTATTTTCAAATTTATTTAACTTCATAGACAATCATCCGTTCAGTAACGTTGTACATCTTTTGCAAGTTTTTATTTTCAAATTTATTTAACTTCATAGACAATCATCCGTTCAGTAACGTTGTACATCTTTTGCAAGTTTTTATTTTCAAATTTATTTAACTTTGTTGCATCACAATATGACCCACTAGGATTTTTAGTTCCAATAATGGTAAGATTTAAAATATTTTTGCAAAATTTATGGAAAAAGAATAATTCGTGGGATCAGACATTAGATGAGCAAGACCATAAGCAATGGAAATTTCTTATTGCTGATTGGGCAACGGTCGTAAAAGACTTACCGCGATTTGTAACAACTTCTACAGACTTAATTGGAATACATGTATTTACCGATGCTTCAAGCGTAGCATATTCAGCAGCAGTGTATTTAGTGAGTCAGGATATGAAAGGAACAAACTCATCGCTCATTTTTGCAAAATCTCGCATTGCTCCTATTAAAGGTATGACAATACCGCGTCTAGAGCTAATGGCCATACTAATCGGAACGCGAGCAGCGCAATTTGTCATAACACAGCTGGATATCGTCAATACAAGGATAATTTTATGGTCGTATTCTAAATGTGCTTTACATTGGATAAAAAACCATTCTAACCTATTACCAAGATTTGTTCAAAACCGAGTCGAGGAAATAGTAAAGCGAAATTTATTTTTCGTTATATTCCATCAGAAGATAACCCTGTAGACGTGGCAACTAGAGGTCTTAATCCAAACCAACTTAGAAATTTTACACCATGGTGGCGTGGACCGTCGTGGCTAGTAAAAGGAGAAATCAGTTGGCCACAATGGGAATACGAATTTGATAACAGTGACGAACCAGAAGAAATCACTATATCAGAAGTCTCGCGAATATGCAAGGATCATAATTTTCAATTTATTGATAGCAAACGTTTTAGCAAATGGCTAAGACTGTTACGAACAACAGCGTGGATCCTTAAATTCATTCGATTAACAACTAAAGAGGGAGGGAGAAAGCTAAAGGCAAGGCAGATTATCATGGCTACAGTCTGTTTCAATCGAAAGAAATCGATTTACAGCTGAAGATTACAAAGTGTCAGAATGGCTGTTAATTAGACAAGCACAATCTGAAGGAATCAATGACGACGAAATAAACAAGTGGAATTTATTCCACACCGAAGATGATAAACTATGGAGATCTACTAGCCGACTCGTGAACTCGGAACTGCCTGAAACCAGCAAATATCCTATCTATCTCCCTCGACACAATCCAATAACAGAACTCCTTATACTATACGAACATGAAAATTTATGTCATTCAGGTATCGCCCATACACTTTCAGAATTAAGGAGTAGATTTTGGATTCCCAAAGGCAGGACTGAAGTAAAGCGAATAATAAACAGATGTCGAATC